CATCGCTTTGAGTATGAAGACCCTTTCTTAAACCAACTGCTCAAAACATTACAGGAAAGTTTGGGAGAGGACTCTGGCTTCATTGCTGAGGTTTGAGTCTCAGGGTAATGTGCATGGCTACTTCTATGCTGTAAATCCTATCAGAATAATTATGCATTCAGGAAAATGGGGTGAAGTCCAGTGTGATAGTCAAATGCAGGAGGAAAGGTCTGCAGGTTGTCAAACCTCAGATAACAGGAGGGGAGGAGTGGACAAAGGTCAGGGCTCTAGGGATGGAGTGACTTCTGCATGGTGTGTACATGGAACCTGCACATCCTGTTAGATTTACAGGGTAGAGTAGTCGTCTGGTTCACCTTGGGCTACAAGACAGCCTAGAGGCTGGAACAGAGGAAGAAGCATGTTATGGGTGGGAACAAACAGACCCTGAGTCCTTTGTAGAAGAGGCCAGAACCTGAGACTGGTCCAGGTGAACAGTGAGCAGAAACAGCATCCAGGGGCAGGAGATAGATGGTGAATGGGTAAAGGAACATACAAGTAAGCCTGGAGATCTGAGCTGGATCCTTGGGACCCATGTGAGAGATGGATCTTATTCTACAAGTTGTTTTCTGACTACCAAACAGGAGCCATTTTGCACATGTCTGTGCGTACACACACACACACACACACACACACACACACACACACACACACACACACACGATTCTTCATTAGCTGTAAAATCAACTAGACTGTTGTATTTCTTTCCCAGGTACTGAATGCTGTCCCAGTGCTTCTTCGCATCCCTGGGCTGCCTGGCAAAGCCCTCCCCAAGCTGACCGAGTTCATAGACTCACTGGATAAGATGTTGATTGAGCACAAGACATCCTGGGACCCCGCCCAGCCTCCCCGAGACCTGACAGATGCCTTCCTGGCTGAGATAGAGAAGGTGAGGACAGCCAGGAACATGGGGCCAGTGCCTTTGGGCAGAAGTGTTCTGTGTCTTGTGATACCAGGTGGGTGGGGTTTATATGTCATCCATGGACCACACAGCTGTGGTGCATGAACACAATGGTTGATGGTTTGGGGATTACTGCCTGTGTTTTTGAGCCTACCTTCTCTGTCTGTCCCAGGCCAAGGGGAACCCCGAGAGCAGCTTCAATGATGGGAACCTGCGTGTGGTGGTGGCTGACATGTTCATGGCAGGGACAGTTACCACCTCTACCACACTGTCCTGGGCCCTGCTGCTCATGATCCTGCACCCGGATGTGCAGAGTGAGCCTGGCTGGGACTGGGAGGGAATGTGAGGGAAGAAAGGTAGAAGTACTGGAGAAGCTGGGTGCTCCAGCATCAGCTTGCCCCAGACTCCCAGAAGTCTGATGGGAGTCTTAATTCACTTATTCATCCAGTGGGAGAAGGTCAGGGAAGAGCCATCAAGGGACCGCTTCACTGAGGGGATGCTGTCCCTCCAGGCCGCGTCCACCAGGAGATTGATGAAGTCATAGGGCAGGGGCGGCATCCAGAGATGGCAGACCAGGCCCGCATGCCCTACACCAATGCTGTCATTCATGAGGTCCAGCGATTTGCAGACATTGTCCCAGTGAATATACCACACATGACATCCCGTGACATTGAAGTACAGGGCTTCCTCATTCCCAAGGTATGCATGGGGTCCCTTATCCCAGGGTCACCACTAGGCTAACAAAGGCTACTAAAACCAAGACCACCACATCCTGAATTTGCACATGGTGATGGGACCAACCTGTTTGTGAGTATACTGCAGCCATTGCCCAGGATCCCCCAGGGAAGAGGGATGGTCAAGAAAATAAGCCACAGGGGTTTGAGGGAGCACTATACACACAGGCAGGTTTGATTTGGGTACCCATGAGAACTTTGTCACAGGGCCTTGACTGGTACCAGAAAAGGTACTGAAAGGCTCTGAGGTTGAGATGAATGAAAGAATCAGTGTGTGCACGAAGAGGTTGTGCATGTGAATTGGTGACCAGTGTTATGTTACCCGTGTTCCAGTCCATGTTCACACCATGTGTCTCCTGCCAGGGAACGACCCTCATCCCCAACCTGTCCTCAGTGCTGAAGGATGAGACTGTCTGGGAGAAGCCCCTCCAGTTCCATCCTGAACACTTCCTGGATGCCCAGGGC